AACATAGAGGCATGAGAAGTGAAGTTACTTGTCTTGGAATTTGTGGAAGCAATATCGTCAACTAGAGTATCTAAAGCGAACACTATGAATGAGGGGCTATATAGTTTAATAACTTACTTGTAGAATACCTTTGAGTTTTTATGTGGGACATTTCTCACATTCTATCTTAAGCTGTATTACAAATGCCAAAAGGTGGTGACTGTTTTGCATTTGTTTACCAGTAAGAGCTCTGATATGCACACAAAGGGTTGGTGGAGGATTATTATTATTATTTATTAATAGTCCTCTGGGATCCTAGTGGAATATAGGGCTTCAGTAGCACGTCTCCAGTGCAGTCTGTTCTCTGCAGTTTTTTCAAACTTGCTCCGCGACTGCCCAGAAGCCCTCACTTCCTCCTCACATGATTTCCTCCATGTCACCCTCAGATGCCCAACTCGTTTCGACCCTGGATTCCACTCAAGGGCCTGGCGAGTGGTGACCCCGGGTGCTTTTCTCAGCATATGCCTGATCCATCTCCACTTTCTTCTGCACATGTGTTGGGAGATGAGTTCTCGGTTGGTTCGTTGCCAGCCAGCAACAGTTCCTTGTTCTTGGTTACTTCTGGTCGTCTAATCTTCAGTATTGAGCTTGGGCGGCCGCCGTTGATGATTGATTCTGCGCTGTCTACGCTGGAGCCCCTACTTTACCAACAGTTCAGCCAAAGAACTCTATGAGACTGATGAATACCTGGACAAGCAGCTCCAGAAATATTACTCCTAGTTAATTCATAGACGACGGGATCCTCTACGACAACCCACTAAAAATTTGCGAGCTGTTCAGTTATCAGTTTGCTAGCTGCTTTACACACGAGAACAAGACAGAAGACACTGGTATGCCGTCAGCATCAACTCACTCGATAAGTGCTGTGCTCCTCACCCAAAAAACATATCCCTAGCTATAGCATCACTTAGAGCCTCTTACAAAGCTGGACCTGATGAAATTCCACCCATCTTGCTAAGAAGAGGTGGCAAAGATGCGCCGCTGATTCTCTTGAAGCTCTTTAATACGTCCCTCTCCAGCGGCAATTACCCTGAGAACTAGAAACTATCATACGTATATCCTAGGCATAAATGTGGACCAACATCTAATACAGAATACTACCGATCTATAAACATCCTGTCAGTAGTATCTAGGACTATAAAAAAGGTGATTGTGAAAGAAGTTGTCGACTACATGACGACAAACCAATCACTCTCTTCAGCACAACATGGACTCTTTAAAGGCCGGTCATACGCTACCAGCTGTGCTGACTCAGTGGCCGATGAAATCTCTGCACGGATACAAAAGGCTTGCCTGGCTTTCGCCAACTTACGCCATTTGTGTCGCCGCCGTGATATCCGGTGATCTATCAAGGGTCACGTACACACACTGCACAGCAGTCCGGTCTGTTCTACTGTATGGCTGTGAAACATGGCCATTGAAGGTAGAGTACACGAGAAGGCTTCAGGTGTTTGACCACCGTTGCCTTCGTAGTATAGGACGTATTCCGTGGTGTCACCACACCACATGAGTAATGCAGAAGTCAGGAGTAGAGTTTTAGAGGGAAGAGGTAAGTCGGTTGACGAGGTTATGAACCTTTATCGACTGAGATGGCTGGTTGGGACACGTGTTATGTATGCGTAGTCGCCGATTGCCTCGTCACACATTGTTGGCCGAAGTAGGTTCAGACTGGAAAAAGGCCCGAGGTGGCCAGACTAAAACATGGTACCAACGCATGAAGTCTCTGACTATTGGTTTAAGCCATGTGGGGCGATGCAGACTTGGTGGTTGGGGTCCGTGGGACAGGACGAACCAGTGGTGGGAGATTGGCTCTAGGTGATACAACTCAGAACCGATATCATTGGCGTAGATGTATCCCACGCACACATTCTCATCTTAACGGCGCTATACTGAATCTGACCATTTTGTCATTCCTCCTTTCTCTCTTTTCCTACCTTATATTTCTCTTGACTGAGTTTTCTTTTCTTCGTCTTCCACTTCACTGCCTTCTCACTTGATGTACTGACATGAGCTGTTGCAACTCGGACCGTAACGCAGTAATGCATGGTCCTATGTTGATATTGATGATGGTGATGATATAACTATAGTTGTTGAGGTTGAGATGGGGGAAAGGAGCAGATAAGTTTATAGTAGGGATGGTGGAGCTAGAATTATTATTCATACTAGTAGTTGTATGGTAACTAAATGTTTGAGACATCTACCTGGGAGGTATGAGTTTATGAACTAGTGGTGGTATTTGGTATGTTGGCAATAGTATTAGTCTAATCTGTATCAATACAGTTGGGATCCCAACTGGATGAGCGGAGGCCATTTATAGCTGCATAGCTGTCCGTACTTTTCATGAAGCTTCCGGTTGCTACTTCAGCAAGTGTGAACGCACACGTGTTCTCACGTTTTGATGGGTATTTCTTTTTAGGTTACAACCGGAATTGCTTTGGTTACCGTTCGGTAAAACTTCCCCTTTTGGGTAACTTGGATCACTTATCTTTTTGACTGTTATCGTCACCACGTAACTTACCTTTACTAAGGAAGTGTAACCTAGCCTCGTATTGTTTTTTACTGCATTCCTACGACACCCTTTGTAGCTCACTCCTGGAATTTCTCCACTAGGTTTGCTTCTCTTTTCATATGTGTAGGTCTTGTAAAGCCTCAGAAAGAGTTTTTCGGTGTGAGGACACCTAATTCTTTGTGCATGAAGTTTAGTACTGCGTAGGCTCTGAAGATGTCTGAATATGGAGTATTTAGCGTTTACTAAATACGTCAGTGCATTGTATTATGGATTCATGCATTTTACACATTGAAAATCGCATTTGTTAGTAAGATTTGCCTAATGGTATTCAATCAATGACCTCTCCGAAGTGTCATTTTGAAATAAGTTAAACCGCCTTCTTTGATTACATGCCTCCATTGCCTGTATTATTTTAAAGTATCCCATCTGTAATGGACTCTCATAAGATATTATAATTTATTTGATGGCTAGCATTGAAATCCAGACCGCGGGTTTCGCCCTATTTAGGCCTCATCGACTGGACGTGCCTGCACCGCCAAGTGGATGACAATGTTTCCACCACCCGTTGCTTAAAACGCCAAAGCGTTATCCACCATGTCGCTGAGGCACGAGTGCTATAAGACGTATATTCAAAAGACAAGAGCACGGGATATACTGGCTAAATAATACCCCTTGCAATTTATGGGACGCAAGGATCACAATTATCTTATTGTTTTCTGCTGGGTTCTACACTTCAGTAAACAGTGTGATTAGTCCTGAGTTTTGTCGAATCTAGCATTTCATATACATCCTCTTCGTTCAGTATCTTCAGCGTATACTCTTGACCTAAAATGAAAAATGCCCATTAGTTATTCGCTAAGTACGATATTCAGTGGCTGAAATTCACTCACTTCTCACCGCAAGCATAAAACATAGAAATGGTATTCTCGAGGTATGTTTATGTATATACACAAACTGATGTATGCTTTTGGCCATATAGACGGTATTTACCAATAATTTTCAAGTACAGTCAGTCTAATTACGAGCGTGTGAGGTTGAAAGGAAGTAGGCGAATCATCTAGTAGAAGTTACTTGGTCAACTTATTATCCAGGGAATTAGTGTTCATTAGCATCCGTTTATTGACTAAAAAAGGGATATACAATCTTTATTCAGCATATGCATCACATTTCTTCAACAATCAATCCCTTTAGTACCACAAGATCTGAAGATACTTGCATCTCCAACTTAAGTGGGAATTGTTAAGTTTCTCTCTAACCTGTAGAACTGAAATTTCTGCTCAACGCGTTCAGAAGACACTGCGTTTTGTTGGCGTCTTCACCTCTCAAAAGAATGTCGTCTGCATACTCCAAATCAATCAGAGGACCTCCAGAACGTAGATAAATAAATATCTGTGAAGTCGCATGTACGTAAGTTTATGTGCACCAGCACATTTATAACGAAGTTAAATAGGATCAATGATAGAGAGTTCTCTATGGGACATCACTGGTTGTCGTCAGTTATGAAGTCAGCTCTCCATAAGTCGTGAGACGGCTGCTTGGGTCCGAGAAGCTAGCTCTGATAAGCAATATATACTTGCTTGACACTCCTTTCACAATCAGACACCGTAGAAGCCCATTTCTTCTCCGGGTGCCTAAAAGAGAAAAAGATTTGTATAGCTGCTTGAGTGGTGTCACACACAACCTTTCGTAGATTGTCGGTATAAGATTAGGCTGTTCTAACGCCGGATAGAGAAAACTCGTACCACTGGCACCGGAGGACCATGTGGCAACCGGGATTTACTATTTTTGATGCCAACGTTTTCAAAATCCCCCTTCCCATTGAGAAGACAGCGTCGGCGTGGCCATCGGACCCCCCATCATAGTTTAGCATTTCAACTTCCAGCGATAACTGGTTTTTGTCTAACCATTATTCAACGGCACTTTCTGGCATAGTATGACCTTGAGGGAATGAGTGTTCCACTAGCATAGCTTTTTGAGTGATATGCAAGCCTGACCATCACATGAAGGCAGGAGCCATCGACCGTAAAGAATAAAGGGGAAGATTATATAAACGTCAATCCAGAATGAAATTATGTAGGTACAGATTGTAAAAGGCTTGATAATAAGGACTCGTACTCAAACGACATTTGTACAGCTGGATATATGATGCTCCTAATATCTTATTTTTTTTTAGACAGAAGGAGACTAGTACACTTCATTAGTGGGATAACTGTCAGTATGCTTCGTTTAGTGCCCATAGGTGGAGCTTTTGATCATCGGTTTAGGAAAGATGATTGTCAACCAGTGTGTCATGGGTTGAAGCCCTTCTCCGTCAACCAAGGTTTTGGCAGGCCAGGTAGTATCACTAGGCCTCCCATGTTTTAGTTAGTTTTTGAGTGTTGAACTGACTTGACTGCTTAAAGCTGGCATTGTTTTTCGCTATTTGTAGATGTGATCATCTGGTACAATGACTAAACAATTAGATAATCAGCTGTCAAGAAGTTATGACTTATATTATTTCATGGCTGAAGTGTATCAGTTAGTTTTAAAGAAATGTTAAACCGTTATAACAACAAGAAATGCCGTTGAAATCACAATCTCATAGAATATATTTGCCAAGAAATGAATCTCTTCCTTTTGTACAATATTCAAAGAATGATTTAACTCCTGTGAGAAGAACAAAATCTACAGGTGATCAAATAACTCCGAATTCATCATGTGTTGTTTTAATCTCAAATGGAAAATGTAATTCATTACAAGATACTATGACTGTTGAAAAAGTATTGATGGCATATATTGTTGATACACTAATTGACTGTTTTAAATATCAACATTTTACTAACTATGAAAATTCTCAATTCCTTCAACACAATAAACCATATATACAAACAATTGACACTGAAGTTAAACCTTCTACCAATTTGTTGTCTACAACACAAATTAAATCCAATATTAACCAAAAAATAAATAAGTATAATCCTTTAATATACAAGAATTCTTTAAAAAAGGATTATGATTTTCGTAGGAAGGAATATTCTTCACAAATAACAACTTATTGTAATAAGAAAGCATACACTAATGTACTTCAAACATATCATACAAAAAATCATTCTAGTAATACTTGTAATAATGTCGAGTCTACAATTTCATGTAATCATAAGTTAAAGGATAAATTTCCAAAGCCTATTGCGTCATCATCATCATCATCGCAACCGCACACTGATAGTCATACTTATAACAGTGTTCATTTCTGTAAACATCGAAATCCTGAGTCTAGACCAATAATTCAACATTGTTTAAAACCTTCAACTCTACCAATTTCTTCCATACATCAGAACATTCTTAATGGTAATAATAAGCAGAAATTTAGTATGACCTGTATAAAATCGTCTACTAGTAATCAGTCATTAAAACCATCATTGATAAGTTTATCTCCTAGGAATTATTCATCCTTTTCTACTTCAAATAGATTGATTAATGAAGGCACTGCTGTCTAACTTTTTATTGTCTATCATCTGAGTAAATTTTGTTTCCTTTTATTTTTCCCACTAGTATAGGTAGGTTCAGTGTTTGTTTGTTTTTTCCCCATTAAATTGATAATAGTGTATATCAGATGAATCTAACTGATAGCTAAATTTTATGTTGATCACATGATTGGGTAGAATTTTTCAACCTCTTTCTTGATTGACACCTTGTTTTTGTTTTTTACTATTGACCAGCGGTTAGTTTATCGAGATTTTTTAGCTGTGATAAACTTTGAATTGCCTATTACTCATCCTATAGAGTTGTTTACTTCTTAAAAGATCAATATTCTTGATAATATTATCAATATTTGTGATATAAATATATATTTGAGATGAATTATTATTATTATTATTAGTCCCTTGGGTTCCTAGTGGAACATAGGGCTTCAGTAGCACGCCTCCAGTGACCTCTGTTCTCTGAGATCTTTTGAACCTGGTCCCACGACAGCCCACAAGCTCTCATTTCCTCCTCGCACGACCTCCTCCATGTCACCCTCGGACGCCCAACTCGTCGCTTCCCATGGGCATTCCACTTGAGCGACTGGCCTGACGCGTGATGTCCTCAGTCGGCCTTCTCAGTGCATGGCCAATCCATCTCCACTTCTTCCTGCATATTTGTTGGTGATAGGTTGTTGGTTGGTTCGTTCTCAGAGTTCCTTGTTGCTTATTCTTTCTGGCCATCTGATCTCCAGTAGCGAGACAGCGTAAGCAGTTGTTGATGAATGTCTGTAGTTTATTTGAAATGCCTTTCGTGACGCGCCAAGTCTCTGAACCATACAAGAGCACTGACTTGACGTTGGTGTTGAAAATCCGTATCTTGTTCCGCATGCTGAGTGCAGAAGATCTCCACACTGGTTTCAGGCTAATGAACGCCTGTCTTGCTGTATTTCCGATTCTGACTTTGACGTCCTCGTCCGTCCCGCCTGTAGTTAAAACAGTGCTTCCTAGATAAGTGAAGGAGGTTACTTCCTTCAAGTTTCTCCCGTTGACGGTGATTGGAGTTTGTTGTTGTTGTTGATGGTGGTGGTGCGGTATCTTCATCACTTCTGTCTTCTCTATGTTCACCTGAAGTCCCGTCTTCGCTGCCTCTTCTATCAACTTGTTAGTTTTTGCCTGCAGATCTTCAAGTTTGTATGACATTAGGCACAAGTCATCGTTGGCGAAATCCAAGTCTTCTAGGTTCTTTTCCGCAGTCCAGCGTATCCTCCTCTTCTCGCTGCCTACTGTTTGCTGCATGATCCAGTCGACCACAATCAAGAATATCATGGGGGATAGTAGGCAACCTTGTTTCACTCCTGTCTTCACTTCAAAAGCATCACTGAGCTTCCCATTGTGAATTACTTGGCATGTGGCATCTTCATATAGTTGTTGAATGAGGCGGATAAAGGTTTGCGGTACTCCGTAGTATTGAAGCAGTTTCCAAATTACTTCTCGGTCGACGCTGTCAAAGGCCTTCTCAAAGTCGATGAAGTTGAGGTAGAGAGCTGATTGCCATTCTATGCTCTGTTCTATGATGATGCAAAGCGTTGCAATTTGGTCTGCACATGATTTGTACTTCCTGAAGCCTGCCTGTTCCGGTCGCAGTTTTGAATCCAGTGCGTCTTTAAGCCTCTCCAGGATGATGCGGCTTAATATTTTACTTGGGGTGGACAGGAGAGTGATTCCGCGCCAGTTCTTGCAAGCACTGAGGTCTCCTTTCTTCGGCAGTTTGACAAGGTAACCCTTCTTCCAATCGTCAGGTACCTTCCCTTCCTTCCACACCTTCTGCAATAGTGGTGTGAGCATGTCCGCTGTTGTCTCTGCATCTGTTCTCAGTGCTTCTGGCGGTATCCCGTCTGGTCCTGCTGCTTTCCCGCATTTCAGTAGCTTTATGGCGTTCAGGACTTCCATTTTCGTTGGGGGATTTATGTTCACTTGTAATTCAGCGGCTGCAGGTGGTATTTCTGGACGAAGTGCAGGTGGTGGTCGATTCAAGAGCTTCTTGAAGTGGTCGGCCCATCGTTTCCTCTGTTTCTCTTCTTTTGTAATTAAATTTCCTTCTTCATCTTTTATTGGTTTCATCTGTGTTGGTCTCTTCCCTGATAGCAACCTGGTTATTTGATACAATGTCGTCAGGTCTCTCTTACCTGCAGCCTGTTCTGCTTCACTTGCCAGTGTTTCGTAGAAGTATCTTTTGTCTATCCGTGCACTCTTCTTCACTTCTTTGTTCAGTGTTTTATACATTGTGCTCAGTTCCTCTTGTCGTTGAGCATCCTTGCACTGGTTTATCTTCTGCTTCACCATCCTCCTCTCCTCTATCAGCTTCCATGTATCCATCGAGATCCATTCCTTGTCTTCTTTCTTCTTCCTTCCTAATACTGTTGTGCAGGTTTCTTTCCACATAGCTTTCAAAGACTTCCAGTGTTCTTCCACACAGGTTTCTTCAGGGATGTTGCTCGATGTCTCCCATTTTGTCTTGATGGCTGCCTTGAAGATCTCCTTTGTAGTTTCATCCTTCAGTTTCCGAGTGTTGTACTTGAATTGAGGTCTATCACCAGCTTCCTTGAAGGCTTTTAACTTGATTTGGAAGGTTCCTTGCACTAGATAGTGGTCTGAACCTACATCTGCTCCTCTTCTTGACCTTGTGTTAAGTAGACTGCGTCTCCATTTTCTTGAGATTGAGATAAAGTCGATTTGATTTTTAGTGTGTCCATCTGTTGAAATCCATGTCGCTTTGTGGATATCTTTGTGCCTGAACACACTGCCTCCAATCACCAAATCGTTGAATGCGCAGAATTCTGCAAACAATTCTCCATTCTCATTCATTTCACCTAGCGCCTCTCGACCCATGGTTAGTTCTCTTCCCGTTTTGTCCCCGCCCAGTTTGGCATTCATGTCGCCCATCAGAATTTTGATATCGCCAACTGACGTCTTGTCCAGTGTTGATTGAAGTTGTCTGTAGAAATCCTCCTTTTTCTCTTGCTCTGCATTATTTGTAGGTGCATAACATTGTATGATTGTGACCTTTCTTCCTTTTGAGTTGAATCTTGCTGTCATGATCCTGGAGGAGATTGGTTCCCACTGCATGAGAGCCTTCGATGCTCTTGAGGACATCATGATAGCCACTCCATAACTCAGTGTGCTCGTGGTTGGCGTCTGGGTGACAGTGTCGGAGTAGATTATTGATTCTCCAGTTGACGGTTTGGAGAGTCCACTCCCATTCCATCTGCTTTCGCAAATCCCAAGCACTTCGATGTTATACCTTCTCATCTCCCTTGCAATCTGGGCTGCCTTACTGGGTTCAAACATCGTGCGGACATTCCATGTCCCCACGTTTACTTTCGCTTTCATCGAGAGAAGACACATCGGCCAATTGGCTTCCCGAAGGCTTTCACCAACTGGCGTCATTTCGCCTCTCCGATTCCAGCGGGGAATAAGTTTGTTTTCATTTTTTATATTTTGTTTGTGCTTTGAAGTTTCTTTAGCGGTTAGATTTGTTTTACGGGGTAGGGTTGCTAGCCCTATGCCCAACCTTCCCTCTTTACCTGGGCTTAGGACCGGCTAGTAACTAGTTAACCAGGCGAGGTTATATATTTGAGATGAATGGGGTTTTTTAATTTAGACGTAGTATTCATCATGGACTGACATCAGTTAGGGAACCATTGAAAATCTGGGAGCACTGGACAGCTGTTTCGTCCTAGTATGGGGCTCCTCAGCAGTACGCACCCACGACCTCACTAGAGGTCAAACTCAGGACCTTCAGGTTTCACAGCGAATGCGTTAACTATTCAGTCACTGGGTTGGTTTTCAGTGGTTCACAATTTCCAATTAATGTCAATTCACGACATAGCGTGACCGTCACCCAAGGTCTTCAGTTAGCATCCACTTCACTTCCGTCTGGTTCCCGGGTTCGATCCCTAACCAGGTCGTGGGTGCCTACTGCTGAGGAGTCCCATACTAGTTGGACGAAACAGCTGTCCAGTGCTCCCAGATTTTCAATGGTTCCCTAACTGATGTCAGTCCATGATGAATACTACGTCTAAATTAAAAAACCCCATTCATCTCAAATATATAACCTCGCCTGGTTAACTAGTTACTAGCCGGTCCTAAGCCCAGGTAAAGAGGGAAGGTTGGGCATAGGGCTAGCAACCCTACCCCGTAAAACAAATCTAACCGCTAAAGAAACTTCAAAGCACAAACAAAATATAAAAAATGAAAACAAACTTATTCCCCGCTGGAATCGGAGAGGCGAAATGACGCCAGTTGGTGAAAGCCTTCGGGAAGCCAATTGGCCGATGTGTCTTCTCTCGATGAAAGCGAAAGTAAACGTGGGGACATGGAATGTCCGTACGATGTTTGAACCCAGTAAGGCAGCCCAGATTGCAAGGGAGATGAGAAGGTATAACATCGAAGTGCTTGGGATTTGCGAAAGCAGATGGAATGGGAGTGGACTCTCCAAACTGTCAACTGGAGAATCAATAATCTACTCCGGTCACCCAGACGCCAACCACGAGCACACTGAGTTATGGAGTGGCTATCATGATGTCCTCAAGAGCATCGAAGGCTCTCATGCAGTGGGAACCAATCTCCTCCAGGATCATGACAGCAAGATTCAACTCAAAAGGAAGAAAGGTCACAATCATACAATGTTATGCACCTACAAATAATGCAGAGCAAGAGAAAAAGGAGGATTTCTACAGACAACTTCAATCAACACTGGACAAGACGTCAGTTGGCGATATCAAAATTCTGATGGGCGACATGAATGCCAAACTGGGAGGGGACAAAACGGGAAGAGAACTAACCATGGGTCGAGAGGCGCTAGGTGAAATGAATGAGAATGGAGAATTGTTTGCAGAATTCTGCGCATTCAACGATTTGGTGATTGGAGGCAGTGTGTTCAGGCACAAAGATATCCACAAAGCGACATGGATTTCAACAGATGGACACACTAAAAATCAAATCGACTTTATCTCAATCTCAAGAAAATGGAG